ATCGAAGGCGAAAATGGTCGACTTCGGGGTGTGCAGAGCTCTGCAGGAGAGGTACCCGATAAAACTCCACAACTGCCATCTTCACATTCTCGAAGTTCTTCGCGAGATGCAATAAAGTCTCCGCCGACATCTCCTTCACCATCATCTCCGGGTGTTGATGATGTTACTGTATCCTTGGCGCTTCCACCAAGTGCCGCCTCATTTACCTCAGACAGTCCGGAGCATCTCACAGATTTTACCCTTGAGCCAGCGCCGAAACCTACATCTGCAGCGTCTCACCGGAGAATGCAATCCGCGGAGAAAGCGATATCCAACCATGCAGACAATTCTCCTCCCCTGGGTTTGGGCTTCGCCAGCCCGACGTCAGTATCCTTTATACCTGATGAACCATCCCCTTGGAACTGATCTTAGTACATATCTTGAAGTTTGTGTCGAATATTCACTTTTTATTACTGTAGCCATAGGAATCTTCATTAGGTATTCCTCCCATCGCAGCGAACAGAATTGTTGACATGGTAGTATCTGCCACCGGCCAACCTACTACTATAGAGGTGATACAGTAGCCATTTCTATGATAAAATTAATAACCTGCAGCTGGATGCAATAGCATTACTTACTAACAAACTTTTGGGATCTGGAATAGCCTAGCTGAACACTTGATAGAATAGTTTGCGGTGCTTATTGCGGTAGGAAACGGAGAGGACTTCATAGACACCTCGAATAGGAAGTAGTCATTCGGGGCTTGTACTTGAACTTTACAGCAACTGAGCTCAAGCTGAGCTCGACGTCATGTTCTGGTGAGAACTAGCGTTATGTCAAAGGCGCCTGTACCCCACCGCCGCGCAGGAATTCCTGTTGCATCGACACCACGGCCCAAGCCACAGTTCACCATCGAAGAATGGGAAGCCAAAGCACCTCTCAGTGACCTGGCACTCAAGAGCGTCGCGGTAGTCAAATCTGCCAGCGAGAAAACACCTCTCCCTCTCAAAGTACAGTGGGAATAATTTATAACGCCGCATATTGCTGAATACACATAAGATTAGCGTCAATGAAGACGAGTCCTCGCGTCCTTCTACACCTAATCTACGAGGGAAGGTCGGATCGGTGTCGCGTCCATCAACACCAGTGCCAGCATCTACTCGCCAGTTCGCCAGTCATGCGCTGCACCCGAAGCAGCCCGTACAAACGCCCCAACAATTCTATGACTGGTTTGCACAGATAGATAAGTCCGTAGCCCATAGCCAGGAAGCGCACTTCCGCGCTCATGTCGGGGTGGTATCCGAACACTTAAACACAGCAGACACACTTATTAAACGTATAGACGAGGTTGACCGGGAGGTTAGTGGGCTGCTTGAAGGCTGGCGAAGCGTGGAGGAGGGCGGAAAGAATCTGAAGGATGCGTGCGAGCGGTTGCTGGAGGAAAGAGTAAGCAACTAGGTGCTAGAATATCCCAATCGCTGATCCTTTCACGCTAGGACAGGCTCCTTGAACTCACTGACGAAATCGGAGCTAGACTCGAGTATTTCCAAGAACTAGAACACGCGATGCGCATGCTCAATCATCCTGGAGAGTCCCTCGTCCTTCAAACCGACTTCTTGTACATGGTAGAGCGTGTGGATATTTGCATAGATTATCTCAAGGCACATGTGAATCCTTATGCTAGTTGCCAAGATGCTACACTAACTGAATACTTTCAGCGATATTACAGAGAAGCGGAGATATACCTACTCCGCTTTCAGCAGTGCATGACGAGAGCCATGACACTTATCAGGATGTTTTTCGTTGGTTCGTTAAGGGCATTGACTGCCGACGTTTCCAGAAGACTGTCAGAAAAGGTAAACTTATTCATTACTTATACTCATCCTCTTGACACCGCGATCTTCAGGATGTATCATCGACAGCACAGATGCATCTGCTTTATACCAGGTTCCGCAGTGTCACTTCTCAGCTTTCTCCTTTACTCAGCGAGTTAGAGCGTCGCGCTGAAGCTCATCCAGAAGACTTATCGGCACTGCTTTCAGAATGCCATTCTGCTTATTTTGCGGCACGTAAAGGTCTACTGGTGGGACGCTTGATGGAAGAAATACGTGGGCTCGATCCAGCGCACACTGAACTAGTTGAATTAGTGAGCTGCACGCGGTTGTGCTCGGCGATTTACTCATTCAAAAACAGACGAATGCCGGTTGCACTTATCTGAAACACCTCTGCACAGACGAATTCAATCTCTACCGAGAGTTCTTCAACTCTGGCGAGGACCAGCTCTAGTGAGTACCATTTTTGTTGTCTCTGCTTACACTTATCCACGACATCAAGCACTTATCTTGAGAACTTATGTGACTACCTTTATGATGATCTGCGCCCCCGGATATTGCATGAAACTCGCCTCACAACTCTCTGCGAAGTATGCACGGTGCTTCAAGCTCTGATGGTTCTCGATGTGGCAGAGTTGCCAGAGGAGCCAACTGACGACGGCAATCTAATTGTTGATTTTGACCAGCCAAAGTCCAAAGGTCTAGGGCAACTCCATATCAGTCACCTTCTGCAGATGGTCCTCCAGGATGCACAAACACGGTTGTTCTTCAAAGCGCAGTCGGTTATTCAGGCCGAGATTCGATATTACACACCGAAACCAGAAGACCTGGCGTATCCTGATAAGCTCGTTGGTAAGTGCATGATTCCGCCTGCTCTAGGCACTGTCTGATAAGTGCCGTCAGCCATGCGGAAGCCTGTTTCTCAATACGAAATCAAGGAGAAGGATAGTGTGAGCCAACTTTTCCAGCTGCCCTCATTAGACAAGAAAGAAACCTGGTTTCCGACCTTGGAAAAGACGGTATGGGTATTATCTCAACTGCATGACTTCGTCAAGGTAGTCACTTCTCTTGTGCACCTTGACTGGATACTGAGTTCATGCAGCCCGCTATTTTTGAAGATATCGCGCATGAGGCCGTGAGCTTTTGCCGTCAATCGCTCGTCACATCGTCCAATTTGGTCGAACAGAGAAGTTCTACTGGCGTGCTAGATGGCCAGCTATTTCTCGTTCGCCATCTCCTGATTTTGAAGGAGGTTGCAAATAATTTGGATTATACTCCGAAAGATACAGAGCCGAGGTCTGATATAGGCGGTATGACGGGTGGGTGTTTGTTCATGACACTGGGTCATCCTGTTGACTTTTTCGATTACAGATACCTTGGCATCAGTTCTGAATCGCACGACTGCATTGCTACCGGATGCTCTTTTCGCTTCATTGGGAATGCCTCGAGGACATGATACCTTTTCGGACTCTCGGCATGTGAACGATGCATTTCTTCCACTGACTCTCCATCCTTGCTGACATCGACTCCTTATATAGGACATAGATCAAGATCTGAAACGTGCTTGTCAAGAAGTCATCTCGTTCTGTGCAAGATTGCCCTGTGAGCCTTTGCGAGAGTGGGTGGACCGCGTACAAGCATTCAACGACGCCCGCATATCCTTCTCACCAGGGTCACAGGCCCCACTCCTTACGGAGCAAGAATGGGCAAAGCATGCTATTGCAGAGAATCTTCATCAGGTCTTCATCGAGGCTTGTGAACGGGATCTGCGGTCATTCGTAACGAAGCTGCGGCTGTACCTAGAGGATGATAGGACGGTGTCTGTGCTGGTCACGCATATAGAGGAGGCGATTATTGATGCCTACCTCAAGTTCCGAAATATAGTGTGGAACATGTATGCAGGGGCGATGAAAACTGTCGTATTTTCGCAGGACGGTCTGCGGGATTATTTGAAGAGTGTATGTAATTAATGTACGACGTACTGTGCTTCAATTTAGAGCGAGTCTTGTCCTCAGACGGTCGTTTGGTATTGCCAGCTGGCTCCTTTGCAACCTTGTATGCACAGCAGCTCTGGAATCACAAGTGCATTTTCAGGCTTACTATGGTGCTGTTAACTTATGTGCCGCTACTTTTGTGCAAAATTTCTAGCATCGTGAGAAAAAGTCCTGGGAACTTTCTGTCTTATAAAAATGCTTAGATTGATGATAGGAGTAAATTCTCAAGAGCAATTGTTCATTGGATGAAATCTGAGTGAAATAAAATTTTGGCCATGGTTTGAATTGGCAGTGAGGTTCCCCAAAGTAGCAGTGCATAAATGAACAGCACCATACACTCCAAGTGGTCTTTATTTATTAGTGATACTCAAAATAGGTTTTGAAAGGTTTTGAAAACTTGCTTAATATGCTTAACACACTTTGAACTCTCGGTTAAAGTTGGTTTCAACTCACTCAAAACATGCTCAGCACACATCGGCATGAAGTCAGAGATTCAGACACTTGCAATTTTTCAAAGTGTATGTTCATAGGGGGAAGTCGTATATCAAGTAAAAAAAAAGCAACCCATAGTAGATATACATTGTATTTCGAATGTTAACATTCATAAAAAAGGGAGTCCACATCATCAGCAAAACCCTAACCCTATGTACAGCGCTGCACAACCCTGCACAGCATCACAGCGTCACAGCGAGGTCCCCCCATGCACAGGGCTGCACACTACACAATTTCTCAATAAAACATAATTATTAGTATACCATCTTGTTATATATATGTTTATGACTACATTACATTTATTTTTACATAGAATCAGTACTTCTGTGATGCTACAGAGCCTTTGCAAAAAAAAAAAAAGTGACCTGTGACATGCTGTGTGGCTGTGGCGCTGTACCCAAATCAGGGTTTTGCTGATGATGAGAATAAAATCAGCTGTAGGTAGTGAATGCCGGAGGGACTAAGTAAGTGCCAGGAGGAGGACACATGAAAAAGATCTGCATGAATCTGCAGAGATGTAAGGTAAAGTGAAAGACAACATTATAGTTGTGGAGAGTACGGCTACCTTTGAGCTGCTTTCCAGGATGCTGCCATGCCTTGTGCCTCGAGCCTCAAGTTGAGTGGATAATGGATCTTGAGTGATGCTGCACTCTTGTGGGCCCATACCAGTGTGGTAATGTTTGGTAGATAAGCCATAGTCGTTTCACAGTTGCTCAGCAAGTTCCTCATACTCCGACTTTGAGAAGCTGTGCACAATGCCAGTATGGGTAGCATGCTGTGACCTGATGAAACCAGCAATGGCTTGAACCATCTTCTTTTTCATGGACGGTTTAGGCTGTACTGCGGCATAGTACAGGTTGGGGTGGTTGAAAGACTGCATCAGGCATAAGGGGTTGCATAAACCTAAGCATGCCTTGAGCTGGCTGGATTGGAATGAGCACAGAGTCAATCCCTCAAGAAGGGGAGTGTAGAAGATGTAGGAGGTAGTGAGGAACCAGCGGCTTGGCAGTAAAAATGAGCCGCTGTTGGTCATGTGTGGGACTGGCACTAGAATAGATTTCCTGTAAGATAAGGGTGAATATGTTAGCTGGAACTTACAGGAGGCAAAAAAAAATACTTACCTTGGGTTGATGACACCTGAAAATTTGATGTCCTGCTCAGTGCTGTGTGTGAGCATTGAGGCTGGATGGTGAGGTTGATGATGGCATCAGCGTGCTCACTGCGAGACAAAACTTCGGAACTTTCTGAAATTTCAAACTCCACCACAAACTACATCACATATACACAAATGGATAGGAGTTTTGATTCCATCGACTCTCCAATTGTGACCATGCCTCAACCATCCACCTGTAAAGAACTCCTGGCTATTATAGATCAGGCTGAACTTTCCCTGGCCAAGCTACAGTACCAGGATATCCTGGACAATTGGTCCAACTTTGAGAGTGATTCTGACTCTGAGGACTCACTTTCCACTACTTTGGATGATAATTCAATCAATCAATCTTTTAGTTCACCTTCTTCCCCTCCCCCCTCTCCCCTATGACAGGGACTTCAGATTCTTTTAGTGATGGTTCTATCTCTTCTGATGACATCACTTTGCCTTACAACTGCCTCCATGACACCATTAATGCTCTTCGTGATGAGGTTAAGAGGGCTCATGTACTCCATAAGCCTGATGAGCCTCCCCTATGAGCACCTCAGCTTCACATGTTGGTTCATCATGAAGAACACTGCCCTCACTTGTTTTGGCAGAAACTCCGCATTAACCCTGAGATCTTCAATGACATCCTTGATTTTATCTCTGATCATCCCATCTTCCAAAATCAGTCCAACAATCCTCAGCTCCCTATCTCCATTCAACTTGCCATTTTTTTGAATCAAGCCAGCCACTATGGAAATGCTATTACTCTTGAAGATGTTACTCAATGGGCAGGTGCGAGTGTTGGGTCTGTGGTTAATTGCACTAATTGTGTGATGATTGTGGTGCTTGATGCTCATGATTAGTTTATTTGCTTCCCAGTGGATAATTCTGAGGATGCTGACCTGGCTCACAAATTTGCCGAGTCGTGTACCTGCCCAGAGTGGAAGGGTGGCTTTCTAGCAATTGATGGCTCAACTATGAATCTTTTCACCAAACCTGGTCACTTCGGTGAGACATTTTATGATATGAAATCCAAATATTCCCTTGGCTGTCAGGTATTTATTTTTTTAAATCTTCATGTGTAAAAATTGATTTAATTCTAAGCAGTCATTTTGCTCCATAACCTTCTCATTGTGGATTATTCTCTGGGTCATCCTGGGAGTGTCCATGATGCATTTGCTTTTCGATCTACCCATCTCTATGAAGAGCATGCTGACATTCTACCTGATGGTCATTGGGTGTGGGCTGACAGTGCATATCCATTGGAGTCATGGTGCATTGCCCCTTTCAAGAAGCCTCGCAATGGGCGGTTGACTAAGGACCAGAAGACATTTAATTATCATCTCTCTAAGGTATTTTTTTTTGAGGTTTATATTTCAGTAAATTGAATTTTTTTAGACCCATGTTTGTGTTGAACACACATTCACTGTTTTGAAGGGATGGTTCCAGTCCCTTTGAGAGCTCCGGTTCAGAATTGAGGCTGAGAAAGACCTTGAGTTCACTGTGCAGTGGATCAAGTGCTGCATTATCCTACACAACATGATCATTTGCTTTGAAATGAGCATCACAAGAGGGATGAGACATATGAGAGCTCTCTAAAGTGGGCTCGTGAAGAGGGGAAAGATTGCATTGACCAAGAGGTTGAGTATCCAGATGGTGAAGAAGTTGTTGGGGACAGGACTTATGAGGGCACTCCAGGACAAGCTGCTAGAGCAAGGCTGATGGATGCACTCTTTGACAGTCCTCAAATGCACACCATAGGGAAGGATGACAACAATAGTGCTTGATTAGATACAGTGGCTCAAAAAAGTGTCCCAATGTTTGTAGCTTTTCACGTAATTGCTATATCATGAGTCAAGACGTGGAAATATGACTAAGCTATAGGAAGATGTCGGAAAGGTCTGCTTCTCAGCTTCATTTCGGTTCCCTATACCGTGGGAAAGTAATGACATTATGTGAAGATATGAGTATTTTAATTTGATGACTCATTGGGACACTTTTTTGACTTTGAGTTTAACTAATGTAATCTCTATAATTCTAGTACTGTGTGTGACCTCCTTCTGCCCCAATCACTTCTGCCACTCTTCTAGACATATTGTCTATCAATTTTGGGTATTCCTCTTTGGTGATTCCATCATACTCTGCTGTAACACTGTCTCATAGTTGGAATAGCCCCTATGGTGAATCTTGATATGCTATAAGTAATTTCTTGAGTGATTCTCAGAGGTATTCAATAGGGTTGATGTCTTGGGTCTATGTTGAACATGATAGAATAGTAATATTATGGTCTTTAAGTTATTTGGTAGCCAATCTAGAAGGTTGCTCTATAAGACTTAAGATCTCTTAATCACTATATTCTAATTTAAAAGGCTGCTGATGTTAATAAAGTGACTAAATTGATTATTTCCATCATTCCTATGACTATCTCTACTCAAATAGTCAGACAGACTCTCAAGACAGCCCATCTTAAAGCTATAATCAAGAAAAACAGATTCTTCTGTCTCCAACCTATAAAAAGAAAAGACAAGATGCTACTTTCAAGTACAAATATTAGACTGCTGATAGCCGAAAGAGGTTTATCTAGTTAGATATGGTTAAAATCAATAGGATGAGATCATATGGCAAGGAATTTGTATTAAAATAGATAGGACAATCATTAAGATAAAGAAAAGTTAAATAAACACCTTAAGTTTCAAGATGAAAACTTGATGGTATAGGACTATATGAGATAAAATGGAATGGGAATTTTCTATGAAGCAAAGTGGAGTATGAATACAGAGTAGTAAATACTCATTTGACAGGAATGTCTGCTAAGAAGCATGCAGGAGTTATAAGTTAATGAAGAAGATACTGTTTTGTGATAAGACAATAACCCTAAGTATACCTCTAAATCAGCCACCAATAGCCTGCAGACCATGATATTACTATTCTATCATGTTCAACATAGACCCAAGACATCAACCCTATTGAATACCTATGAGAATCACTCAAGAAATTACTTATAGCATATCAAGATTCACCATAGGGGCTGGGCTATTCCAACTATGAGACAGTGTTACAGCAGAGTATGATGGAATCACCAAAGAGGAATACCCAAAATTGATAGACAATATGTCTAGAAGAGTGGCAGAAGTGATTGGGGCAGAAGGAGGTCACACACAGTACTAGAATTATAGAGATTACATTAGTTAAACTCAAAGTCAAAAAAGTGTCCCAATGAGTCATCAAATTAAAATACTCATATCTTCACATAATGTCATTACTTTCCCACGGTATAGGGAACCGAAATGAAGCTGAGAAGCAGACCTTTCCGACATCTTCCTATAGCTTAGTCATATTTCCACGTCTTGACTCATGATATAGCAATTACGTGAAAAGCTACAAACATTGGGACACTTTTTTGAGCCACTGTATGTACTACTACCAATGCACCTGTACAGCAAAAGAAAACAAACATAACAATGACAGTAACAACAAAGGGCATAGTAACAACAACACAAATGTAAGCATAGTGACAACATCAACAAGTAAGAGACAATGAGCAACAACAAACGGAGATGATGAGCAACAAGTAGAGACAATGAGATGATGATGACAAACTCCTCCATCTAATGCCGCCTTGCTGGCCTGCATCATTTGGTGGAATTGAATCTTGAGTTGTAGAGTCTCTGCTTCCTTGTTGAGTACTTCTGAATGTACTTGGTGGACATGAATGTCCGTCTCATGAAGGTGAATCTTGGTGGCTTTCACCTCTTGCATGCGCTGATGGGTGACAGTGGCTTGGGAGGCTTCGTACTCGCGGCTGGAATGAAGCCACTCATACTTTTTAGTGTCACAACTACGCTTGCTTTTAACCTCAAGCTTTGTGAGGAAGTGAAGGTGTTTGCTATCATGGCGCGATGTCACGTCCGAGTGCATGCTCTCAATCTTGTCTCTCACTTGTCCCACCTGCTGCGACACGTCTGACTTCATCTTCTTCTTCTTCGAGCTGCTGGCGCTATTTGGAAGGGAGGTCTCAGGTGTAGGTGTTGGGGACATGTGAAAGTCCTACAACGAAGTAGTGTTGCACGTCGTCGATGGTGGTGTCGACGCGCTGCACGACATCTCTGACAGCAGTCTGCGTCGGCTCCCACAGCTTGAGGGCTTCTGCACCCTAAACACCGAACAGCTGTTGTATGCCAATGCTGGAGTTTTTGCTGGTACCTTGAATAGTTCTGGAACATTGGGAGGAGGAGATGGCATTGAGGGGAGCTGATGCTTTTTCCCCACAACTGGGGAAGCATCATTGAGTATCATGTCATCGTCCTTGGCAGGATCCCCCAGGCGCCTATCAAATGAAAAATTATTTTTGGCATCATCGTCATCTGACAAGAGGCCAGGAAGATGGACTTCGGGAGGGAGATAGGATGGAGCAGGAGGGGGTTGTTGCAGCACCGCTGGTGGATACTGGCCACCAGCAAGTATATTTGCATTAGGAGGTACAGGGGGGGCATGGTGCAGGGGCACAGGATATGATAAGTTTGGGGGATGCAATGGCTGAATATTGGGGGAATATAATGGCTGAACGTTGGGGGGATGTGATGGCTGAACATTGGCTGAATGTTGGGGGGATGTGATGGCTGAATGTTGGCTGAATGTTGGGGGGATGCGATGGCTGAATGTTGGGGGGATGGGAGGACTGCTGAGTGGCGCTGAAGTATGTAGAGAAACCAGCCCTGCTGTTCGACTAAACAAGGGAATACAGGGCACTGGCGTGATCAATGCCTGGTTTTGACGAGTGTGTGGTCATGGCCATCAAAGGATTGGAGTGCCAGATGGTATCAAGATCCTTGTACCATGGCAGCTCCAAAAGTGCTGTGTCTACAGAATTGATCAGCCAATAACCAAGTAATCAAGACTGAAGACTCACCCAACAGGTTCTTTGCCTGACTCCCTTCATTTGGCATCACCCCAGCACCCGTGCTGCCAAATGACGCTTTGACCTTCTTGTATTTGTTCCTGAGACTGTAAAATTTAGTATTTTTATTAGTAAAACAAAAAAAAATGAAAGGACTTGCATGGTGATGCAACTGCCAACAGTGTCGTGAAATTTTTTGGGATTAGATGAATATGTGGCACTGTATTTGGGGTGATCTGTAAAGATGATCTTGGCAAGACCACCATAAATTTGCCCCCTTGTCTGAGCCCAAGGGGCTATCAGCACCAGTAGCAGCTATGGATTTTTTTTCCATCTGAATAAAACAAAATCCTGCAATCAGCAGGGTGAGTATTCAGATAATTCATTAGCACGTCAGTAAGTTCATGATCGTTGTACCACTGAACAGTGAACCAGGGTCCAGTTGATTCCCTAGGTGTTTTTGAGCGAGGTGGTCCATCAGATCTTATGTCGTTGTTGTCCATTATGGGCGAATGAACGAGAAAGTTCGCTCTGAGTCATGCAGAACAATGAGCAGGAGGCATGAAGATTTCAAGCTCCATTTACCATGCTGGGCTGACCTTCAACAGCCAAACTCTCTGAAACACTTTTAGCTGAGAGTTCAAAGTGTGTTAAGTGAGTTTTCAAAACCTATTTTGAGTATCACTATTATTTATTTCACAACCTTCTGTAGTGCTGTCACAGTCTGGTTCTGAACCTTGCTTTGTTTCTGAATTATACTCATTATGGTCCAGTCACATATCTGGCATGGCCACTGGATTGAACCTCTTATATGCTCATCAGTGAAATACATTAGGAAAAGTGCATACTGTAGAGATACGACACTAACTTCAGCCACATTCAGCCATGACCATGTTACACTTAGCTTCATAGCTTTAAATGTTGGTGTGACTAGTAACCGGACCAAAATAGCTTCAGTCAGGTGTGATGAAGTGTAACATACTACTGTGTCACTGTCATCGATGCGGACATCCAAGTCTGTTGGTACTTCAATATTGTTGCACATTGCTTCACCTGTAAGCTATCAAGCAATGCTGGGTGTGGTCTTAAACACTGGACCTACTGGAACTGTAAGTCTGCCTTCAATGTCACTCCCAGTCATACCACAATTTGAAACCGATGCATTTGTTGCCTCAGATTGGCTTGAAAGCGTAGATGGATCGTAAATAGAATGTACACTGACTTTTGGTCTCATTAAGGCACTCTATATGTTTTTTTTATCGAATTTACTGCATGTCATAATTTAGCTTCAGTTATGAAAAATCAGTGTGATAGTCACATTGAATAGCTTCAATTCATGGTGGCTTGTGACACATGATGAAGTTAGTGTCGTATCTCTACAGTATTACTTAATCTTACTCAATCAACTTAGCCACATTTGTCTCTCTCATGCATCATTCACCTAGGAAATCTTGTGTGAATATCTCAAGATTGAATTTCTGGCAAAGTAGATCCATTTTTGCTAAGTGACAAAAGTACAAGTTTACAACTTAAGTCTGTTTAAGGCAAGCTTAAGTAATAAACATTTTTCCTGTATTTGGCACTTATGACATTACCTCCTCTCTAAATTTGCTGCAAATGAAGCTAAGATGAATAAATTTCTTTCATCATTCCACAACACTCTTGGGTTTCAAATACTGACTTATTGATTTTGCAGGGATTCTATGCCTTTGGGTTTTGCCAGTGATTTTCAACTGTGCATTCTCTAGGTTTTTCTCAGGTTCCCATGTCACTCCTTCAATTAGATATCCTTCCCATTCTACTAGGTATTAGAGTTTGGATATGTGCATTCTCGAGTCTAGGACTTTTTGCACTAGGCATCTGGAATTATCTCCTGATTTGATCTCTGGCAGAGGGTGGTGATATAGAGGTCTTTGGATTAGAGTTGAGTGAGTATGAGCTATAAGTAATTCTACATGGAACACAGGGTGGATCTGATATTTTTGTGGAAGTTTTAGACAGTAATTTATGTTGTCTGTCTTTTCTAACACCTTGAATGGATGAAGTCTTTAGTTAAAGAGTTTTTTATTTGGTCTTTTCTGATGAATATTTTTGGCATTTAGCTAGATCACATCTCCTTTCTTGAACTGTGGTGCATCTTTTACTCTCTTGTCATAGAATCTTTCCACCCACTCATTTATCATTCCTAGTGTCACGAGTTCCAAATACAAACCATTATTTGTTCCTAAATTCTAAGTCCTTTAAGCACCCAGTCACAGCGCCTGTACCTAAGAAAATGTTTACTGTTGAAGAAGTTCCTATTATTGCATCCATTGTAGAATTACCAGAGTCATGCACGTGACTTATCGGACAATGCCGAAGATATTGATGTCATGCCTCGCAACACTCTTGGAATGTTCCAGAGTCTTACTACGGCTGCGGCACATGTTATGACATCATAATTATATATAGAATCGTACGATACCTTTAATTATTCTGATTGGCTAGTTATTTCATACTCAGTTTCGATCTCAGTTTCAATATGTGTATAAAGGTAGCTCGACGTAGTTAGTAGTTCTTTAGTTCAAACCTCTTGTATCTCCTAGTGAGCAATCCAAGACGTACCTGCTGCATCATCCTCTTTGTGATTATCTTGTTGTTTGAGTCCTAGTCTCTGCCCTGCATTAATTCATTTAAGGGGTTGTGACACCTAGCATACTATTGCTTCTCTTATTGCACTTACTCATTCATCTGCTGCAGGTATTTTAGAATTGGAAATTAGTGAAAAAGTAAACTCAGAGTTATATCCATAGAGTACTTTGAATGGACTATGACCAATAACAGTGGCAGAATTATTATGAGTGAATTCTGTGATTGGAAGCCAGTCTACTCAATCATTCTGGTGGTAAGACGTAAACATCCTTTCTAAGATATTGCTCTACTTCTTAGTTCATTCTTTCTATATGCTGTCTGTCTGTCTGAGGATGATACAGTTGCAGATAAGCAAAGTCACCAATTTTGGTGACTAAATTTTCCTGACTTGAACACTTAATCTAAACATTGTAGATATGTTCACAATGTATACTAGTGTAAATTTGTATGAGTAAAATTTATACAACTATCAATTTGACCTAAGCTGTGTCTGAAAAATTGGTGGTATCACAAAAAAAATAGCTAAAAATGTGAAAAAAATGTGAAATCAACTTCTTTTGCTGACTCAAATGTAATTCCAGTATCAGAAAAAAAGTTGCATTGTAGACCACTTGAACCTGCAATTGCACTCAAATATGCTCTAAGGCCATCCAAAAAAGAGGCAAAGAAACATCACAGGGCTCCATGGATAGCAACAAATATCTTATCTTATCTCCAAAGCTTTGTTTACCACTAGTGGTAAATTGTCTCCTACAAATAGCCCATATTAGTCTGAGTCAGAATCAGCCAAGCTCAAAGGCACTACTATTGAATTTGATGGACTGAAGATTAATTTTGAATAAGACTATTATAATGACCATTCAGATGGTTCTGATATTGACAAGGAGCTGGAGTGTGAGATCTTTGAAGATGGGGAATTTGGTTGCAGGCTTGCAGAGATGGTCCAGAAGGAAGATAAAAAGCATGTAGACTGGATTCCTGAATAACTGACAAAGAAAGCACCTAAATATACAGCAAATCATAAATGTAGGTGCCATTACATGAGAATCATGGACACTGACTTACAATTTTTGTGTAGCTTGTCTGACAAAATACAAAACAGACCCTGATGTAATGAACAAATCAGTATACAGTGGCTCAAAAAAGTGTCCGAATGTTTATAGTTTTTCATGTAATTGCTTTATCATGTGTCAGGACATGGGAATATGACTAAGCTATAGAGAGGTGTCAGAAGGGTCTGCATCTCAGCTTTACTTTTGTTCCCTATAGTGTGGAAATATAATGATAGACTAAAATCAATAAAATGAGATCAGGTGAACAGAAATTTGTATCAGAAAAGATAGAAGAATCATCAAGATAAAGAGAAGTCAGTCAAGCACCTAAGTTTCAAGGAGAAAATCAGATGGTATGGGGCTGTATGGGATGAAGTGAAGTGGGAATTTTCTATGAAGCTAAGAGGAGGATGAATGCAGAGCAGTAAATCTTCATTTCATGAGAGTGTCTGCTCAGAAGTATGCAGAAGTCATGGGTGAATGAAGAAGATACTGTTTGGTTACAAGATAATGACCCTGAGTATACCTCTAAATTGATCACCAATAGCTTAAAGACCATGATATTACTATTCTATCATATCCAGAACAGATACAAGACATCAACCCTATTGAATATCCCTGGGAGTCACCCAAGAAATTGCTTGTAGCATATTAAGATCCACCATAGGGGCTATTTGTGCTATAGGACAGCATTACAGCAGAATGTGATAAAAATACTAAGGAGGAATGACCAAAATTAATAGAGAATATGTCTAGAAGAGTGGAAGAAGTGATTAGGGCAAGAGGAGGCCACATATAGTACTAGAATTGTAGAGATTGTAGTAGTCAAACTCAAAGTCAAAAAAGTGTCCGAATGAGTCATCATTTTAAAATAGTTATATCTTCACACAATATCATTATATTTCCACGCTATAGGGAACAAAAGTAAAGCTGAGATGCAGACCCTTCCGACACCTCCCTATAGCTTAGTCATATTCCCATGTCCTGACACATGATAAAGCAATTACATGAAAAGCTATAAACATTCAGACACTTTTTTGAGCCACTGTATACTCAATAATAATACAAAGCCAAATGGCATTGACAAAGTGCACTGAACAATTATTGTTTTAAAAAAGAGATTGCCTCTGCTCAAAAGAAGGCTTCCCCCACCTTACAACTTGAAACTTACAATACCACTGGAATTAAATTAGTCACATATATCTACAATTTCTCACACTTGTAGCTCATCTATCTTTATTGTATCTTCTGAAACCTCCATCTCTGAAAATACCACAACAGACACTGAAGGTATCATATCTGATGTATGTGCAAGAGATCTGTATTACTAGGATTGAAGAAGACTTAAATTTGATGGATTAGAGTAAAGCTGAAGAGTGGGAAAAAGAGCTGGATGCAGCCATTAGAAGGCACAGTGAAATATACAGTGGCTCAAAAAAGTGTCTTAATGTTTGTAACTTTTCATGGAATTGCTTTATTATAAGGTATGGTGTGGGAATATGACTAAGCTATAAAGCACAAGTATTGGACTGAAAGAGGACTGGAAGAGGATTATCTTATAAGATAAGACCAAAATAAATATGATAGGGTCGGATGGCTGGGGATACATCTATAGAAAGACAGTTGAACTACTAAAGAAAAAGAAAAAGATGTAAACTCTGAAGTGTGATGAGAAAGATACTATTTTGCAATAAGGTAATGATTTTAAGTATATCTCAAAGTTAGCTATCAACAACTTAAAGACCATAATATCAATGCTCTATCATGTCTAGTACAGTCCCTGGAGCTCAACCTTATTGAATGTCTCTGGAAAATACTCAAGAAATTGGTTGCAGCCTATCAAAATTCATCATAGGGGCTATTTCAGCTATAGAATAGAGTTGCAGCAGAGTGAGAAAGGAGTACTAAGAAGAAATGTTCAAAATTGATAGATAACATATCTAGAAGAGTGGCAGAAGTGATTAGAGCAAAAGGAGGTCACACAAAGTATCATAATTATAAAGATTGTATTAATCAAATTAAAAATCAAAAAGTGTCTCAATAAGTAACCAAATTAAAATAGCCATATCTGCACATGATGACATCAGCTTCCCACACTATACAGAACATAAATGAGGCTGAGAAGTATAGCATTCTGATACCTCCCTATAGCTTAGTCATATTCCCACACCATGGCTCATAATAAAGCAATGACATGAAAAGTTACAAATATTGAGACACTTTTTTGAGCTACTGTAAGATCAAATCAAAAATAACTTAAAGAAGAACAACAAATTATTACCCCTTTCTTCCATCAATCAGCTTATTATTCTGTCCAATTTCACAATACTGTAACTAAAGAATGCTCCATGAATTTGTGCCAGTATGGAAATTGTATAGCAGTGGCACAAAGGAAATGGAATCTGGTTTGTTCATCATAATTATACCCTTACATGTCATTACCAGACATTTGAGTAACTTCCACAAGAGAAACATTGTGAGATCACTAATTCCCAATCATTCCTCCATAATGAGTCTATGCAGACTCACTGTCACACATGGCTATCAAATGTGCAAACTAGTAAAGTCACACCTCATGGCCTTCAAGATGCTGTAGCACTTGGATTGGTACTGGGCATGTATCCTACCAATCTCACAGATACCTTACATTGCATTCTGTGATACTCCCTTGACCTTCTGAAAGCTCCATATGTTCACCTAAGTCGTCTGAAGGCCATCCATTCATTTCTGAAGCCTGTTTTCACTCATGATCCACCATAACATGTCCTGTCCATGTCTGTTTGACTTCGTTGGTGTGTTTTCACTTTGTTTGTCTATTATTGAATATGTCATAGGGACAGACATGTCATTGGCCCATTTGAAGCCTCATTTATTCGAATAGTATATATAGCAGCATGCCTAATATGTTATCACATGCATATCTGTGTAGTGACTTGCCTCAAGTCTTATTACATTTTGGATAGCTTATCTCACTACTAGTTTCACCTATGCAATTCCAAACTTTCATGCTGTAGGATATAATCTGGCTTGCTAGCTACCTCACACTTCACTTCACTTCACTTCTCTTGCTACAAGTCATAGTTAGTAGAGTCACTTTTGGATAGTCGTACTTTGTGCAATTAATCTTTTTTTTCATTCAGAACAATTGTTTGGCCTGACTGCTACCATTTTGCATCTTGCTGTCTTAGAGTCCTTTTGATAGGCTTTGCATAGTTGTACTTTAGTACCCTCACAAGACTTATACTTCGACATACCTGCCATACTGACTTTGGAAACCTTACTGCTTAATCATACACTCTTCAGAACCTCTGCACACTATCAAATCTTTATGTCTTGACTTTAGACTATCTTCGCTTGCATAAGACAAGTACTTTGGTACTTTGGACACATCTGCAGAACTTTGGACATACCTTGGGTGACTTTTTCTTCTTTCAACCTTTGATCTTAACAAGACATCTCTTGCATTTTTATATTAAGAAATAGTTCTACAGGTAATCTCTTTGGGTCAAATCACACTTGTACCTTTGAGTTCTAAGGTAACAACTTTTGTGGTGCCTCCACAGAATCAACTCTTTATAACACTGTCTTCTTAGATAGATGATCTATAGATAAACACCCATAAAACCAAATATCTCCACAGTTAGCAATTCAGACAAATATCAATTACTGATAACATGGTTATTCATGGGTGGCTTGCCTATGCTCCTAAGATATAGTCAGCAGTTAATCCAACAGTATGGATATGAAATATAGTGACAATGAAAACAGAACCCAGTCAGTCAACAATTGACAACAATAATAGCAAAACAATAATAACACAATATCAAGAGACACAGTTACTCTAACAATATAGGGATGATACAAAACAAATAGACACTCCTTCTAACACTTCATACAGCAACAATAATTCATACACAAACTTAGTACAGCAAGTTGTGTGGAGTTACAATGAGAATACCCCTCAGCACAAAACAGGTGGGACTACTGTTAGGCCTAGTCAAAGCTACCATAGTACTCTTAGCCTAATTGTTAAGACCATGCACAGATAGAGTTTAGAAGTTCAGTTGCAAAACCACAAAAAGACCATAGTCAGACTGGGACCAGACTTTTTTGAACTGGACTGCAGTTGCAGTCTTGTCACTAATAAAACATCAGTAGTTGCAGTTGCCTCATTATACCAAAGAAAAAAAGACTAACTTTAAACTAACTGCAATCAGTCTTTTTCAAACTGGTTGTCTACAGGCAGGGTACACTTGTATATACACTGTATAGCTAAGACATGACATAAAACTCAGCCTATGACTACATCAATCTTGTTGCAATCATCTTTAGACATCTTAGCATCGAGTTGAAGCAATTCAACATACTCATCAAGTAAAACTTCCTTAGTGACAGCTGAATTTGTAGCAATGCAATCAATGACTAAACTTTACCACAAAAATTTAAAGATCTGAAGCTGTTCAAACCATTTGGCACCTAGTCAGGAGTGCCTGTCAGTTGCAGTCTGCCCACCACTTGAGAATATGTGTTCACAAGGCACCAAAGATGCAGTGACAATGTAGACATCCATTGTGATGCAGGCAAGAACAGGGTAGATAGTGGCATTCTTCTGAATTAAATTATTGTTATGTTAGTATGACATATGACAGATTGTAATTAATACATACCAACTACCACTTGATGATATCTGTATCCTTTGAGACATTATCAGGCATATCAGTGAGATAATGGCAAAGTTCAGCATGCTAGCCTGAAGGATATTGAAGGCTGGCCTTCTCCACCAGCTTACAATGATAATAGTCATATTTTGGTTTAGTGCTAGCAGCATTATGAGAGATGTCGCCAGTGGAAGAACCCAGATATGCTGATGGAGTTGTTAGTTGAGCACGTTAGGAATATTTTTGCATGGTTGTCTTGATGACTTGTAGGGCCTAATTGTACCAATCAATAGTGTTTGGATTTCCAGCAGTACACTCCTTTGCCTGCTCTTTGGGCCTGCCCCACTGCATCTTGGTGTATGCCAGTTTGTAATATAGATAGAGAACTAAATACAGTGTCAGCGATACTAAGTAGACATGCAAGTAAATATCATTTACTGAGCATGAGAACATACATAGGCTTGTTATCAAACTTCCAGTAGTATTTTCTGATCTTGTCAAGGCCAGCCTGGATGGCATCCTTGTAGATCTCATACTTTGGTAAATCATGTTTCATCTCCTATGCAGTCTGGAGTTCCTCAATTGCTGGAATGGCACACCACAGTGTTGGTTGTATTTCTGATGAAAAACATTGTTGAATGTTATTAGCATCCTATAAAACAATAGTCAGTATATGAGAGAAATAAGAAAATGTTAACTCACAGCAATGATTTCACGTGCATCATTCATGCACTCCCAATCTGAGTTCTTGAATGTAAATGCTGTTCATGGGATGTTTTTGACCAGTTTCCCATTGTGCTGAATGACTGTGACTGGCCCAAAGAGCTCATCTGCTGTGCTGATGAATATGTTGATGACCTGTGTGATGTAATTTGGTAAGCATCAACAATAAATAGTGTAAACATACCTATTGTAGTGTATATGCATGCCCAAGCATTCCATCTGCAGTGCCCACCTGACATTGCTGTGTAATGGAATCTTGAGGGTATTCTCCAGGCTGCAGTTCTTTTGAAGCATCTTGAAATAGTCTATCCACTGTCCAAAACACTAAATCTGTGTAGTATATTAGTAGAATGACAATGGACATAAAAAAACCAAACAAACCTTGATAGTAATAGTGTGCACTGCAGCAACAATATCTAATGAGTTGCCAAGGATACAATTGTTGTAATCATTGGCATCAAATTCCCATATCACCATGCTAGTTTTGATGTTAGCAACTCACGTGATTACTGACATGATAGCAACAACACCAAGCACTGCAGGCATTTTCCCATGTTCCTTCATCAAACATCCAAAAAACATTGATTGAGAAGATAGAATTTTCCCTGTGCTCCAGTGAGGGATATTGGGGGGAAACAAGTTTGTGGACCAGATGGGAAAATATTGATGCATAAGGTATGCATTGCCAATGGTGTCTTAAATGATGGATCCCCACAGGACTTTTATTGGCAAAATGGCCACCCAAACACCAGGATGTTCAAGGGAATGGCCAGAATTCTAGAGGAGTGCGGTTTTGATGTCAGCATGTTAAAGGTGCAGTGCAAGAACTTTGACTGTCCTCGAGGTTCCACAACCTGTTGCTGTTGCTGAATTCTTTACAACCAATCAGATTTTACTGATGTCGAGTCAAACTTGGAGACAATATGCAGGTTAAGGGGCTTTGAGGTGCTGTTCCTACCAAAATTTCACTGTGAACTCAGTTTTATTGAACAATGTTGAGGGTATGCAAAGCAGCTATATCATTGTTATCCTTTATTGGCAGGGGACACAAATCTGGAACACAATGTCCTGAAAGCATTGGATGCAGTTCCTCTAACCAGCATGTGAAAGTAAGTACATAGCTACACAATCCATACTTACATGCTAATGAAGATCAGATTCGCAATCAGGTCATGCCATTTCATGGATGCATATCACAAGGGGTTGAATGGGAAACAAGCTGCTTGGGCCACAAAACATTACTGTGGTCATCGTGTACTCCCCTCAGCAATAATGAAAGAACTCGAAGATGCACAGCTCGATTAACACTGATCCTGATCACTGTTATGTCCATATACTATTGTCAAGTACTACAGTGTTCTATCTTTTTTTTATTTTTTTTAGAATATGTGGCTCGAGGCCACTGGCTTCTGGCAACTGACAAGGTCAATCCCAGTCAGCCCGTTAGGATGCCGGGAATTACACCCAGTGATACAGGAATTTCAACCTGTCAGGAGGGAATGCATTTACGCAGACCTAGATTTCTAGGTACTGTGGGACTTGACTGACATGCAATACCCACTAAAACCTCCTGGTGGTTTATTGCAGGATTCAAACCTGCGACCCTCTGAACAAGGCCGGCAACTGCCGAAGCAGTTCCAGGATTGGTGGCACATCCACTAAGCCACCTCCCCCAAAGTCTACAGTGTTCTACCTAACTTCTGTAGCTACAATGCTCTCTGATACTTAGTATAGTCACACCTCGGTCACATCATGTGATGTTTGCTGAAACTGCTCAATGCCTATCTTAGTACTGTTCTATGCTGTTCCACCTTCTTCATAAACTCATTCAGTGATAGACACGCTTATTTAACTATCGTCTGAGCAGTATAATAAAATTTGTTGAAATACCTTTGAATACAAGTAGTTTACCAAATTTCCTGAAATTACCTTGATTTCGTAAAGGAGGTTTTCCCTGATGAGCGGTATAAGTTCTGATATGATTGCTCATTCATGAGCTCGATAAACAATCTCCTGGACATTGACTTGTTCTTTCTGCGCTGTTGGGAGTTTTGTTGTGTTTTCGTTCGACTTCTTGATCGATTTTGGTAGTTTGCTATGTGTGGTGTAATTGATCCAGGAGCTGAAAAACCACCGAGTCAGATCGTTTGGGGCCATGGATGAAGAATTGGATGCATTACCTTCTTATTTCATTATATTCACTAATGACGGGAGCGTTGATCTTCCCGAGGTGTTCCCATGATGGTTGTGCGGTAAGAGCTCGTGGCGTGGTCCAGCCTACTCGCGAGCCTAGGAAGAAACGACCAGACTCAACATTGGCTCAACCCACTGCACAAGGATTATTCAAAGACCATATGTAGTAAGCGTACGCTGTACTTTTCTTCGACTGATGGTGAATCTTTCTGTATTGGTATTCTCATTCTGGGAGGTGCTTACGCACACCGCCTCTTTGTCTCCACAACTTCGATAAGTATTTTGCGATCTCGTTAATCGCGCATACCCTCATGCTCTGTCGTCCATCTCCATAACGTTTACAGAACTCCTGTACTGGTACCCTTGTCGAAGAACACAGCACTTGACTCCGTCAAACGATATTGCAGCGCCGACGTACGAGATATGACATGTTCATTCGCATCTTTCATGCTAGGCCCTAGGTGCACACATATCTTGATGGTTTTATGACTTCTGATGCACCAAGAGTAACAGAACAGAACGCACCTCTCCGCTCACTGCACCGCTTCGCCCGCTAGCTAAAGGCCTGACCTCGATGTGATAGGTGCATAGTTGAAGCAAGTGCTGCAAGAGTGCATCTGGCTCTGGTGGAGTGACGATGTGGTGTCTGACGACTAATACTGCGTCCATCTGTATTTGAGTTTGTAAAAGCAGTAATGGCTCGAAGTTGATTTTGTCTTACCTTAACACAGAGGGCTCTTAGAGCACGAGCAAACCGGGACAGGTCAAGCAGCGAAACCCCGAGCCATTCGAGCGATGTGATGTCATCCAGGATTACGAGTGGGATTTGGCCATGAGTTTGGGAGTCTGACAATTTGGCTGATAGTAGATCGTAGATGTACTTTAGAGAGATGTCATTCAAAGGCCCCTCTCCAGGATTTTGTGCTGGTGGGTGCTGGTCGAAGACATCTATGAATTGAAAGGATTCGCTGTGGGTCACATTGGCGTTCTGTGGGGAAGTCAGTTACTATTAGATCGACGAGATGGAGAGGACTGCACGTACAGCCTTTGAAGCTACTGATTTCCAGCGCTCGAGGCTTTCGGATACAGCGAGAACAAAACATTTCGCGGTTTTGCTTTGCCTCAGGTGCAAGTGAAGGAATCGATGCAGTAAAAAGTCGGCTGGAGCTGGAAGCTGGTCTGTTATTAAAAGCAGTCGATGAGAAGAAAATAGGTCAGGCGCAGGGAACTGCATGATCAAGAAAGCATACGACTACCTGTCACATCAATTGCATTGTTACATGTGTGTTCACTGTCATGCCCTGAATGATCGGTTATAATTACAGACACAAACAATTGAAACAAAGCTCTCGTCGTTGCCTAGTATTCCCTACTCATCACTTCGCCGGTTTTCATAAAGCATTTGAGTATGGTTTCACCTTTAATTTGACCCAAATATTGATAACTCATATTAGCAAAGGTCTACCTAGACCATCGGACGTGACATTGTCATGTCTGTTCCCAGCTTCGAGGATCTCTTTGGGTCATGTACCCTGGAGGTGATAGCTCCAGACACCTCCATAAAGTTTCCCGAGCCAGGAGCTGCTGATCACTGGTTAGCCGCGCTTAAATCATCTGGTATTGAAAGAAGACAAGCGTTCTTCGGTAAGGTACAAGATTTCATTGAACATGCTAGTCTTGATGCTCATCAAATGGCTAATCAGATGAGCAACTACACCTTCTCTTGATTGCACAAATACCCTGTCCATCTGTGGACGTTGATCCCAAGTATCCACCTACATTCCTTCTCGATTTTCTTGCCCATGTGCAGGTTTCGCTTGAAGCCACTTATATCTCGCAAACACCTACAACTCTCCCTGAAACTCCCCAGACTGCCCGAGTCCTTGCTCCACCACGCACATCATCTGTGGCTAAGCCTCGGCCTACATCACTTCATCCTTCCTTATTTCCTCCCCATACACCAAATCCTACACCATCTTCTACGGAGAGGGATCGCAAGTACGCACAATCCGAAGGAACTCTTCTTATTGCCAGTATATGGGGTCACAGGCCCGCGAGTTTATCTAAAGAGAAGTTTTCTCTTTTGTATTCAGAGGCAAAGAAGGCTTGGTTGGCTGTATACGAACTCTCCTTGACCGTGTGTGAGTGTGCGCAAGCAATACGTCTGTCGCTTGTCCTAAACACTCTTCTAGCGTTTCTTCGCCTTTCGTTCTCGGATCCTCTTCTGTCCTTGACCGTGTCAACTACATTGCGAGAGAAGGCGGTTTCACTGTCACAAGCAAACCATCCATTTATCATATTTCTGTCGGAAAGCGACATTCTTGCTAAGCTTTCTGCTTCTGGCATAAGTTCATTCTCGAAGCAGCAGAACCAGGATACAGATAATGTCGGGGAGGATGATCAGACCGGGCTTGAGGAAGTCAATCTACTAGAAGGTCTTTCGACTGGTAGTCTTTTATGCCATACCAATGTTACGGGTTCACTTACATGTTTTCTAGGATCTAACGTCACTCCCGGCTCGGAACCACTCTGGCTTCCATCCACTCGCTTGGGAAATGTCATGCGTCGAGAGTTATTCTCTCTCTTACCTGTGCAACCTTCATCTGCCCAACCACTTGCGTCAAGCCCTAAGCGTCCACCTAATGCCACTTTACGGAAATCATTTCGCAAAATTCTCCAGACAGTCTCTGGCTTCCGGGTGCGGATGCGAACCGTTTTTGTTCCCCACATCCTCTTTCCGGAAATGAATTCAAGGACGGGCTTCAATGCCGATGATAGCGATGCGCAGGAACGAGAGGCAGGGAACAACGAACGTACTGTCGTTCTCTGTGTTGAAGTCGAGAATTCTGGAGAATCAGGCTTAGGTATTGGTTTCTCGGTGGAAAAGGTAGATGTGAACATCGGTGGCGAGGGTGCATCTGTCAAACTCATTGGTTGGGGAGAGGGTGCTTTTGAGGCTGAAGTGGAGGCGCACACCTTCCCACTTCTGATCGGATCTATGGAACAGTACAATTTGTTATACGCCGTTTCATTCCTCAAGCCTTTAGCAGACTCAGATCTCTCGCTGGTCGGTCGGCGGTCTGGTACTGTGTCTGCAAACTCAGATCTTCAGCGGGCGGTAGCAATCAATATTCATGGCAAACCTTACTTGTCGAAGGCAGGTGGTGAACATGACTCTGAGGACGGTGATGGCCCTACCCTGACCTACCCAACACATACATTTTCCTCTCGGTGGAACTGTATCCTGGATCTTTCTTCGAAACCACCGGAAGAACCTCTGGACTGCTCAGACCCTTCCAGTGGTGCTCGTAGTGTGTTACCCGAGCCTGCGTCTCCCTTCCCGGGGCAAGCCGCTTTGGCATCCGCGATGCCGAAAGCGCAATCTGTTACAGGGAACAAACGACATACCCTTCCCAACACTATCACAGCTATACGAGCGATTAACCCGAATGCTAACTTCCGCCCGATACCATATCGCGACCAATCTTCTGCCTCGCCAATCCTCTCCAATAAACAATACACTCCTCCCTCTGTCACTGTACAAAGTTTCTCAAAGTCTCCTTCCACTACATTCGGCATTCCACCTCCGACCATCCCCCTGTTAGGCGTTACTACACCCAATGGCGGCCTACATGGCCCATCAGAGTCTCAAACGTTCGTGACGCCGCCAACTCCTGCGTACCCTGCATTCCCTCCGGCTACTGCTCCAGCAACATCTCACTTCCAACCGCCACTGAGTAACCATCAAGGAGCCTCTGGGCCGAGTATCGAAATCCGCAGGGAACGTGGTCTCGGAATGACGGCAGCCATACCCCAAACTCCTGGACCAACCGTCGGCGGCGGTGCATTTGATCCCGCTCGAGATACCCCAGCTACTGGCGGAGAGCCCATCATCGTCTCTGTTGGCTTGCTCCCACCTCCTACAGGTTCCGCCGCATCTATGAAATTATATCCCTGCGATCAGTTCACGCTTGACATCTTCGTGTTCAATCAGAGCTCATGGACCAGAAGGTTCGAAATCAGCTGTCCGGATCCAGACCGTAGACGTAGACGGAAGATCGAGCAGGAGAAAGCTTCGCGGGGTGGCAAGACGACTATCAAGGAGTTACAGAGTGTGATGACGCCTCCTGGGATACTCCCATTGCAAAACCGTGTGCGAGTCGGGTATGTAGCATTTCGGGTGAATTGTCGTGCTGTTATTCAATGATGTTTCTCGAAATTGCAGGCCGCTGCGTCCATCTACCTGCCAGTCAGTCAGAATGGACTTCCTTGCAATGACTCCTGGTGTACATTCTCTTGAGATTCTTAGTCTCACGGATATCGAGACGGGTTTCTCTATGGATCTGAGGTGAGCTCACGTTAATTCCTCTTCTGAAGTTCTGCTTCGCGTGCTGAACAGTTGCGGTAGATCTGTATTAGATGTTGTTGTTCACGAGCATCATCAGATGTAATCCTTCCATTCTACGCCGAGTGATCGGCAGATAAAAATCGAATCTGTAGTGAGACAGGGCATAAAACAAACAGCGTAAAATATACAAGAAGAGAGTGTGGCAGAAGGGTACAGGACATATATTAAGGTTGTCTTCCGAGGTAATCCGAGTCATTACAAGTATGACACAGGTGGGTTACACCCACTGAGATTTATCCCAGGCCGGATCCTGCATAAATGCGCAGAGAACCTTACTACCGGTCTAAGAAGGCCATCAGATTGTTTGTACGGTTCTTCTTATCTAGTCGCTTACCTGCAGGAGTGGGTGACCAGCAACGATGCTTAAGAATCGTTCCAGTCCCTCCCTTCGACTCTCAATGACTTCATCGGAGAATCTATTGGTGAAGACTTTGCCAGGGAGTGGAGGAATGTTGACACGAGTAGATTCGCGCTCCAGAATATCGCGGAACGCCTCGAAGTCGGAATAACGGCGCCGGACGAGAGAATGGCGCAGCTTAAATGCGGGAATGTTTGTCTACAGCACATAAGGATAAGCACTACGGGTGACTGGAACCGCGGTAGCAGTATGTTTCACCTTGCACACGATCTCGTAGTCGGTATACATCTTTCTGCCGAAACCTGTTATTCAATGGTAAGGAGGTAGGATCCCACAGAGCAAATTTTGTGTTGCTCACCGTGTGTTTGAGGATTGCGAACTTCAATTTCTAAGAAGCTCTCAGGGACGCTGTACATTTCTTCAATCTGGGAAGCGCTTGCTTGTGTTTATGCAGCAGAAATGGGATGATAAAAGTAAGGTGGGCTTACGGTCTGCTCGCGCCCGCCGAGGCGGGGCTCGTCGAACGCGGTGCTGCGAGCAAATGGCGACACGCTAGTTGTCATGTCGTCGACGTTAACGTTGGTGCAGTTTCAGTGTGAACAGCACATCATCACCCACGCAGCTGTCACAATTGGTCACACCTGAGTCACACGTCACTACTTTGTGTTACCTTCTCATCGGATCTCCAACATGATCATCTCCATGCTAAGACAGACAAAACTTTGCACTGTTCGCCGTGGTCATCGACGTAAATGATAACATAATACAAGATATTTGTATACGACTGGACCGACTACAGCCATATTTTCCCATCATGACCCGATCTTTTCTCAACTTCATTTTAGTATGCGCACTTCCGTGCTCTCTGCACGAGAAAGTATAAACATCTGAGGATAACCATATCATGGGATTATGCTCACTCTCTAATTCACCCAGGCACGAGCACTCTGGAAAAGCTTGAACCACGGACTCGAACCATCCCACGAATCCCCAAACGCGGGCGGATACCAACTGCAACTCTCCAGTGCTACGACGCGTTCTGGATGGGGCATAAGTCCCATTATTCTGCCATCGATTGTCTGCACGCCAGTAATCCCATCGGGACTGCCATTCGGGTTCAATGGATAAACTTCTGTGGGTTCACCCGCAGAATCGACATATTGCAGTGCGACGAGGCCTGCTTTCTGCAGGGCTTCTCTCTGGGTATGGTCCGAAAATGACACTCTTCCCTCTCCATGAGCAACAGCAACAGGAAGCTTTGACCCAACCATATCTCGCAAGAAGACGGAGGCCTTCGTCACTTCATTAGAAGTGACTTCGACCATGGATACACGACCCTCGAAGCGTTCAGAGGCGTTCTGCTTGAAGTCGGGCCAGTGGTCTGCGCCAGGAATGATCTCTCTCAAGTGACTGAGCCATTGGCAACCATTGCAGACGCCGAGAGTGAACGTAGTTTTATCTGCGAAGAAGTGGGTAAACTCCTTCCTCGCTATATCGTTCAAAAGTACTGAGTGAGCCCAGCCTTTCCCAGCACCGAGCACATCTCCATAGGAAAAGCCACCGCAAGCTGCTAGACCGCGGAAGCGCGAAAGTGAGAGTGCTCCAGAGAGAATATCAGACATGTGAACGTCCACGGCATCAAAACCTGCCGCTGTAAATGCCCAAGCCATTTCCACATGTCCGTTGACACCTTGCTCACGCAAGATGGCGACCTTTGGCCGCGGTGAGAGACTTCGTGAGGGGGATGGCGTGTGCTCAAATGTGAGGTCATAAAATAAACCCCGGTGAGTGTGATCCTTGATGAGGTTGAATTCCTGCCGTGCCCCGATAGGGTTGTCGCGCAGAGATTGCATGCGGTACGAAGTGTCGGCCCAGGCTTGTTGAACCTCCTGACGTGTGCTCGAAAATAGCACCTTGGATTCGTGATTGATGGCGAAAAGTTGATCAGAAGGATCGATGTTGACGCGCCCAATGACGTGGATGGATGTGGAAGGGAAGCCGACGTCGACAAACTCGCTCATGAGCTTACTCAGGTGGGACTCGCGCACTTGGACGACAGCTCCTAACTCCTCATTGAATAGGGTCGCCACAGGGTCGGAAGCACTATGGAGTGTGTCAAGGGAGATTACAGCTCCTACTCGACCAGCGAAGCACATCTCCACCAAAGTTGTGAAAAGCCCTCCGTCGGAGCGATCGTGATATGCAAGGATCAAGTCAGGCTGATTCTTTTTGACCTTCTGGCACCCATCGAAGAACGTTTGGACTGTAAGAGGATTCTCGACGTCTGGCGCCTCTGATCCGATTTCCTTGAAAACCTGCGCAAGCGCCGATCCACCCATGCGCGTCTTGCCATGAGCAAGATCGAAGAAGACAAGCACAGTCGTTTCCTTCAGATCTGTACGCAGCTGAGGCGTCCATGTTCGTTCGACGTTGTTCACCGGCGCGAACGCCGTGACAATGAGAGACAACGGTGCACTAACTTCACGCTGCTCCTCTCCTTGCTTCCACTTCATCGACATTGACATTGAATCCTTGCCGACGGGGATGCCGACGCCCAGCGCAGGACAAAGTTCCATACCGACAGCGGCCACGGCGGCATACAACCCTGCACCTTCGCCTTCCTTAGAAGCAGCGCACATCCAGTTTGCACTGAGCTTGACGCGAGAAAGGCTGGAGACGGAAGCTGCAGCTAGATTGGTGAGCGCCTCGGCGATAGCCATTCGAGCGGACGCAGATGGATTTAGCAGAGCTACAGGTGTCCGTTCACCCATTGCCATAGCTTCACCACTCAGGACATCAAAACCATATGATGATCGAGTGACAGCAACGTCAGCAACTGGGACCTGCCACGGTCCAACCATTTGGTCGCGAGTCACCAAGCCTGTGATGGTTCTGTCTCCGATTGTGATAAGGAAAGATTTTGACCCTACTGATGGAAGACGAAGAACGCGGTCCACTGCGAGAGACAAGCGGTTGGACAAGGTGGAGGAGTTCGGAAGATATTTCGAAAGGGAAGTATCAAAGTTTATGAAACCAATCTTTCGCGTGGTATCCTTGCGCGACATGCGAGGAGGCTTCCCGAAAAGTGTCGACATTTTGAGGTGAATGACATCTTGCGAAAGGAGGCGGTCGGTGACGATGAGTTCTTCTTCCTCTGTCGCGATGCCAACGATTGAGAATGGACACCGTTCCCTTTGGGCTATTTTCTCGAACTCGCTGGCCTTCTCTGCCGACACAGCAAGGACATAGCGTTCCTGACTTTCGTTGCACCATATCTCCATGGGAGACATAGAGCTGTCCGCGACCAGTACATCCCTGATCTCAAACTTCGCGCCAAGTCCTGAGTCGCGGACCAGCTCTGGAAGTGCATTGGACAGTCCGCCGGCGCCTACATCATGGATACTCTGGATGGGACTACTCTCCCCCAAGCTAACGCAAGCGTCGATAACTTGTTGGCATCTCCTCTGCATCTCTGCATTCTCTCTCTGGACAGATGCAAAATCCAATTCCGCAGAGCTGGCGCCAGATACCTGACTAGATGCTGCGCCACCACCTAAACCGATGAGCATACCTGGGCCACCCAGGACGATTATCTTCGCCCCCGGGGAAATCTGAATTTTCATCGCGAACTGTGGGCGGACATTCCCGTATCCACCGGCGATCATGATTGGCTTGTGATAGCCTCTGATCTCCTGTGTTGATCCGTCCTCTGAGGCAGGGACAGATTCAGAGAACGTACGGAAGTAGCCTGCGAGGGCTGGACGACCGAACTCATTGTTGAAAGCACTGGCGCCTAAAGGGCCTTCGATCATGATGTCGAGGGCTGACGCGATGTGTGAGGGCCGACCAAAATCTGTCTCCCAAGGTTGCTCATAGCCAGGTATGAGAAGGTTAGAAACAGTGAAACCAGCTAGTCCAGCCTTAGGTTTTGATCCCCGGCCTACTGCTCCTTCATCTCGAATCTCCCCTCCTGAGCCCGTAGCTGCTCCTGGATAAGGAGAGACTGCAGTGGGATGGTTGTGTGTCTCGACTTTGATGAGAATCGGCATGTTCTCGACAGAAGCTTGGTAAATATGTTCGGTAGAAGGACTATGTACGCCAAATCGAGGAGCTTGTGCGCCCTCAAGGACAGCTGCATTATCAGAATATGCAGAGATTGTTCCCAGCGGACTGATTTTCTCCGTATTCCTGATCATCTGGAAAAGTGACCAGTCGAGAAGCGTCTCGTCTACTGTCCACGATGCGTTGAATATTTTGTGCCTGCAATGCTCCGAGTTCACTTGAGCAAACATGAACAACTCCGCGTCGGTGGGATTACGGTTGATTGGTGACGATCCAGATACAAATGCTTCCACCAAGTAATCAATTTCATCTGCTGCAAGCGCGAGTCCCAGTGCTTTGTTCGCAGTCGAAAGCTTCTCGCGCGCAGCACCAGCATCAATCTCCTCCCCTTCACCTCTCAACTCCACAATCCGCAGGGGGCTTGGGGAGTGATGTTGAAAGACCACGCCCTCGAGAGGTAGAGACATATGAACGCTCTGCGTCATACGATCGTGAAGCAAATGGGACAGCGCAGTCAGATCTTTCTTCCTAAGATCTTCATTGTTTGCCAGCTGGAAGACGAACGCGACCCCGCGTTCGAGACGATCTATGTGTTGTGACAAATTACATATACCAGCGATGTCAGTCGCTTTGCTGGACCACGGTGATATAGAACCAGCTCTTGGTAGAACGTAGATGACATTGTGCCCGGAGTGAAGCGCTTCGGATGTCGATGGAAGTCTGATATCATCGCCGTAGTCCAGCAACAGATCAATAGCTTGTCTTGGTGACGATGCATTGTTAGCTAGGTCATCCTGTAGCGATTGGCTCGGAGATTTGACGAGGTGGATATAGACTGCATCAACGGATATTACATCCGGTTTGATGGTTTTGATATGCTGGAGAAGTGCCTGGCGCTTCGACGAGGAGAGTGCAGACGAGCCTGGGAGGACGAGCATGCCTGCCTGCATGATGTCAGTGTTGCGTAAAATTCACTGTACTGGCTTTCTATCTCACCTCAGTCAGTTATGTAAATTTCTGACCAGAGCTTGGACAAGTGATGACGAGATCTGCTCACTCCTGCAAAATTTCGAGTCATCCGGATCAATTTATATCGTTATCTTATCTTATCTCGAAGTTTGTTGATATTTGGTTTTTATAAGCTCGCGATCTGCAGCGCGGCGAGCTCATCAATATTTCTGACATACTCAACCACTGGCAGGTTTTGCGTAACTGATATATTTCTACGGCACGATTATAGCGCGGCCACTGGAGCTCATCATCCTGAACAAAGTCTTACCGAGTAGCTGATGTGTTTCTACACCAATAGCATCAAGTTGAATTCCCCCCACTAGTACCGCACACACAAAAGGCGGAGCTCGTTAGGAATCCTACTTCAAGTTTTAAGCCTCAAGCTTCAAGGCCCGCGCTCTCATTGTGTGCAAATTCATTGTATCAGAATTCCTCAGGTCAAGAGCTTCTAGTAGCTTCCGCAGATGGCAAGTCAACCTTTGTAGTCCGGGCGAATAAGGCCTGGGCTTTGAGGCATCTGTGCACTTGGCCCAACTCTGGCCCAAATACTTACTCGCCACCGCTAGAGATGTCACAAGTGCTAACAAACAATAGCAGGTGCGCGTGGTCTGCAAAGATGGTCTACGTTACGCCCTGACACAGGCAAAGATGTCCAACAGCAATTCGTGAACCAGTTTGAAGAGGGCTTTCAGATAAATGCCTTAGATTCTAATGCTGGGATGTAGACTATGTGATACTCAAAGACTGAATGATTGGGGGATGATGTACAGTGATCTTTTTTAGTCTATTCTGTAGCGATTTAATTTAATTTTTTTTGCGTAGGCTTCAAGTGAATTACTTATCAACAGCGCTATTGAACGTTCTCATATTGCCTCACCTCAGTCTGCGTCGAGATTTATCATTGTTTCAAACGAGCTCCATTACCTCGTGAATAGACTTTCAGGTGCCGACCGATGTCCAAGCATTCTAGAGAAGCTCGATGACCCAGACTACTGCACTTCCCCGTAGGACCTATAAAATATACCTCTTTTCTTAACTAACAATGAGACAGGGTAACGAGAAATAGGTGCAACTTTTCAAAATGTGAGAGTCGAGTTACACGTCCCATTTGTTATTGAACTTAATTCGTTGTCCGATTCAAGTGCTAGAGGCGATGTGTTTGCGCGCGAACTCAGCTCCCGACTACCTGTGTCAACACTTATAGTAGTCTCAGCTGTCAATCCCGGTTTTTTTTTTCATTCGCACTTAATGCGTTCCACCGAAACAAACAACCCCCCTTCACAAGATTGGGTGTCGCAACCATGAAAACCTCACTCACACCACGGAAATGCGGGGTCAAATACTTGTCTACCCGGCTGTTGACCCGGGTGAGAGCTCGCGACATGGCGTCTTGCTGTGAGCCGAAGGAGCAGAGCCATTATGTGATCAGTATAGAAGGAAGAGATTTTCAGACGCCTGTGGGTGGGCATTGCTCGATTTTATTAGATCGCTGTGGACGTTGCTCATTATCATTATTACTATTTAGTTGGAGAAATCGACGTCTTAAGTAAAGTCATTTCCAGGGTTCAGCGTATCGTTGACGAGCTAGTATTAATCGAGCGCGCTATGCACTGATGCTGAGTATCAGATATTAGGTTGTGTGCCACGTTCGTTTATATCGACAATCTCAGGTTGTGAAGCTTTATATTACTCAATGCTGTGTGTTTTTCTAAAGCACTGCTGCAGAGTATACCCGCATTTCCCAAATAAACGTTGAGGCCATCTTCTATGAATCTCTAACGATCGGCACAGCTCTTGGATGTCGGCTGTCCCCTATCTCGTGGTGTGCCGCGAGGAAAGCTCGAGGCTCTCAGGATAATTGACCTTCAGCCCGCGGTTTCCACCTTGCTCTGCATCTTGTATACCTCAGTCCTGTATTTCAGGCCCTGCTAACCCTTACCCACACACAAGATGCCACATTTCCAGAGACAACAGTTCAGTTGGGCCAACTGCGAAGATCCTGATATTCTGGCTCTGACTGCTGCGACACAACTCGTGAGTACCATAGCCACACTTGATACCCGTCGATGACTTATGTGCAATAGCCGCCTGACAGGCCTGTCAGACATTACAGTGACATTACAGAACCGTCATGGCTACCACGCCTGAACTCCTTCAATTCTTGTCATTCTGATTGTTCCAGTCACGACGCCTCAGAGCATGGGTCTTCCATGTTCGCGGACGATCATTATCGTGCCCATCACAGTCCTGCAGATGCGTTAGTCAGCTATGTGAGCTTGCGAATTCACATCATTGTTTTCTCAGTCATTCATTAATAACTTTCTGCAGCCTGACCTCGGACAGTCTCCTGAACAGCCCATGACATTTGGACGCTGGCTGCGTCTACTAGGACGACGTGCTTGTCGAGCAAGCGGGTATATTTGACTTGCCTTTGACTGAGTCTCTTGGATTAGAAATGTCCTCATCGAGTGACAAGGGTTGTACTTTAGAATTGTTTCCTCTGATCTTTCTGTTTCCTCCGGCCACTGTAGATGTATGTAGACGCCCTGCAGTTTACCAGTTACCACGCATTCTTCTTTCACGACCATGTCACGAATCGTTTTTTCTGTTGATACCTTATGATACCCCATCACTAGTATTCTTTACACAATTACTAAGACTCGACCACGTTTTTGCAGATGCTCGTTCACGTTCAAGTATCAAGAATTTTGCACTCCCCTTTCCCCGACTTTTCTCCCACCTCGATACTTCCATTTACTAGTATGCCTCACTGCATACATTTGCTCATAACATGCAGAAGCAATCAGTTACGGAGGACCCTCCGGCTATTGACTGATCCGGATTCCGAAAAGCTGTGTTCGGCTTTTGGAGAGGCCTCTTCCGGATCTCACTTAATGCGCCACCTCATCTTATGTACCGCAGTGCACCAACAGTCAGATGACTCAGATCTGAGATCTGAAAGGTGACAATGTATTTTATCCTGAATATGCTATAACACTGCTGCAACACGACTGCCATATGCCAAGCTAGTTTCTTCGAACGTGATATCAATCGTATCAAAACTTCTACGCGCGAGGGCCGCACTCTCGCGGTGGTAATTTACACTCACTGCAGGTTCTTAATATCATCGGATGTCATTTGACTTAATGTAGTCCGAGTCCCAGGGGCTAATAATGCAGAGTCAGTAGAATAAAGCTACATATGTGAAATGAAGTGTGCTCCTCGGTATCTGGAAGTACATGACATGCTACAGTTAAGGATGTATGAAAAGAGGGAGAGCATGGCATTAATGCAGTGATAGGTATTAACAGCATCTGTGGTGCGTAGCGTACAAAAAACAGAGCAAAGCATCACTCCGATCGAGTCCAAATGATAAGCGCTGTGTCAGAGTTACAATGCAAAGCCAGCATGGGGGTTCGTTATCCTTTTCGTCTGCGTCGGAGATACTGCGTGGGCGTCGTCGTCATCGTCAAACGGAGTTGCAAACGGGTTTATGGTATTGCTAGACTTCCGCGCGTGAGTAGTCGTGAGAAGCCGTGTTACGGGGGCAACGGATTCTGGTAGGGAGGACGGCGCAAGCCCCGGCCGGGGAGGAGCCATTGCAGGCTTGTTTTTGGCAGCGAGGAGCGCAGCCTGCACTTGTGACGGATAGAGCGTCAATGGGACAGTTGCATGCTGTGGGGGCGCCCGCTCGAAGGCGTGATGGAGCGGCATCGCAAGCGGGCTTGGTTCCTTGGTCTGCGGAAGAGTGAAGCCATATTCATCAAATGGGCCAACGTCAGTGGGCACGCTGGCTTTCCTGCGCTGCTCTGGATGGAGCAGTGGCGAGAAGGATATAGAAGGAAGCACCGGGTTCTTGGCAGGAACTACGCTCTTCGTCCACGGCCGAGAGGGTGGAGTCGGTGAGACAGACCAAGCAGAGGAAGGCTCTTCTCGAGTTGGAGACCGCTCAATGTGTGGCAGGTCATCTGGCTTGAGCGAGGAAGCATGAGCGATCGAAATTGTCAAGGGAGGCCTAGAAGACCGGCCTATCGGCCTATCGACGACAAATTCCTCAGCGGGAGCAGCCTTCTTAGCAAAGAAGTTTGTCACGGGTTTGAACCAGTGCGACCTGGTTTGTTCATTTTCTACCTGTGGAAAGTCCTCTCTGTCCCCACCGTCAACATCCTGCTTCCTCTTTCCAAGAGCCATCAAACGCATCAGCCTACTGATAGCGCGAGACGGCTGCTGCTGCCGCTCGGCTTTCGGCTCACCCCCCTCGTGGAAAAAACTATCCCAGCTTTTTTCAAATCGAGGTTCAAGCGATTTCAGCGGATGATTGGCAGACCGGCTGAACGGATTAAGGCTGAATGCTGAACGCGGCTCAGGAAGAGGCGTAAACGAACGAAAACCCATATCAGGCGTCTTTTCGCCCTTTTCCGAATCCTTGCTGATGTGAACGATGGACGGTGCGTCAGGAAAGGCTGCTACAATATCATCGTTGCGTTGCTCCTTGCGCCATTTACGCTTCTTGTACGCTTCAACCCAATTTCTGGCGTAGGAATGCCAGAAAACGATAGCGAGACCCATGACTACGACAACGCCCCAGAGAATGAGGAATAGGGCAAACATAATCCGTTCCTGCTTGAGAGAGTCCACGTATGTCGCCACAAGCCTTCCGATCAGGCCGCTTGAGTCACTTTGACCGCCACCAAGCGCGGCGGTTGCAATTGGCTGAGTGATCTCATTAACATCGGACGACGAAAGCACCAAGACGGTCTCGTTGACAGTCGGAAGATCGACATTCAAGTTCTCGTTCAGGAACGTGAGTGCCTCTTCGAGTGCATCGACCTTCGAGCCGATAATGCACCGGACGAAGTCCTGCGCAGTGTTCTCCAAGACGGTCCCATTGAACACACTCGCGACGATATTCTGAACATCGGTGTAGAAGTTGTTCAGCGTCGTATTGAGGGTTGTGGTGGTGCCATTGACCCAGCCGAACAGACCGTCGTTGACAGAGGACTGAACAGTCTCAACACGTGCATTAATGCTACCAGCGTATGATGAGGACTGGTTATACATTGAACTGTTCACCTGCACGAAGATTGTGCTGGAGAGATCCTGCACACTCGCAGCCGCTTGTGCAGTGTACTTTGCTTCCAACGGACCGACAGCAAGAAGCTGTATCTGAACGGAAAGTAGACCGAAGAAACCGATCAAGAAGCAGGCAAGTGCAGGCGCATGGAAAATGTAGTGCAGAAACCATCGTAGGTGAGTGTGCTGTGAAGCGGACATACGCAGTTTAGCTGAGAGGGAGTTGGCTATGCGAGTAAGCAGGGGGTGTTGCGCATCCGTCTGGAGCATGAGGAGATTGTGGTTGGTGAGTGTGACAGAAGGGGCACTAGCTGAGCTGGTGTACACCGTGGTGGGGTCAGAAACCCATGCCTCACGAGTGCGACGGAGGTGAGACTGCAAGCAGTGCCACTTGTACCACTCGAGGGCAACGTGTCCTGCTAGCAGGGCAAAGAGAACAAGGATCAATATAATGGTGCCAATCTTCGTAATCGTGAGGAGGTCATTTCCAAGATCGTCAATTGAGGAAGTGTCCAAATTGTTGCAAAATGAAACCGTGTTCTGAGCAGGGACAGGAAGCGTCGATACATCGAAGACAAGGCCTTGGAATGTGCTGTTGATATCAGACTTTACGGCTTCAAAAGGTGTATCGACGCTAATGGGGGTTAGTAGACGTAGATACTCATTTCGTTATAAGACATACAGAGATTCAATAGAGTTCTTGATCGACGACACGGTTGGCAGTGAATTGTTAAGCTGAATCAACGCATTCTCAAAATCCGTTGGGATAGTGATACTGGACAGAGAGTCCAGGCTCGAGACATTGAATTGTGGCGCAGTGATTTTACTGAAAGGATTGACCTTGTTGAGCTCGTTGACGACGCTTGTAATGGCAGAGTTGAGCGAAGTGGCATCATTCTGCAAACCTGACACAATGGCGGTTATGGTGCTTTGCAAGAAAGAAGTGATCTAAGCCGCTGTCAGTAAAAATTCATCGAAAGACAAACTTTTCATACCTCTTGAACAGCAGCAATGAGAAGTGCAAGCCCACCTCCAACAATCAGCTCGAGGAAACACAAAAACGTGGAGCGGTAAATGTCAATAAGGAAATTGATGATCACTTCCATGACAGTCAATGATAGAATCAGAGCTGCGCGCGCGTCATTCATGGTGCCATTGATAGTATCTGCGATTAACTGATTTGAGGCAATTGCCATATACCGCGGAGCACTGGCCGCAGCTGTAGCAGCTTGTTCTGCTGCTTGACATGCGATCAAGAAGTCACCCTTTGCATTAGCTACTGCAGTTTGGGCAGATTGGGATGATAGCTGGAGCCTGAATATCACAAAGATGAGCGAAAGAATTGGATATGCTAGCCAAGCTAGGGAAAGGATGTGAGGGAGTTGAAGGTAAGGTTTGAGAGTCGTGCTCGAAGTCTGTATTGTAGAATGAACGTTATAACCTGGCGGAGGCGTTATTCCTCCTTGAGTGCGAAAAGAGAAGGACATCTGAGATGATGATGGTCGACCTGCGACGTCGAATAAAACTCTGACTGCCAACTGGTGGCGGTCCGTCAGTAGTGAAGAGAGAAAGATAAAATAACTAGCAAGAAAGAGAGCCCTGGAAGAAGGGCTGGAGCAACCCATTCTTTTTCTTTTTAGAGCCAAATCATCATTGTCCCGGCACGGTGTGTCCTCCGCATCCTCATTGTTCTTGAAAAGGACTGCGAAAGAGGACGAAGCACAATAAGAAGTTCACAATTAGGTAACCTTGTTGATGATCGGAGTTCGGAGTGTTTCCGTCGGCGGCAAATCCGCAAATGAATATTCCCTGCCGTACAGCTGCCAGCAAGTGGCAACCACAGCTTGTGTCAGACCTTCTGCACGGATCATGACATCAGTCCTCTCACCGAAGACCCATCGTCACAGAGAATTCACTAGCGGGTACATAATACCTGAAGGTCTGAAGTCATCACCACGTCGAAGTTCGACGAAAGTAGCTCGGCTTATCGAGTTCCTCAGCCTGCAACCTCAATAGTACTTGTATTCGACTTGAAACCATCAAGTCGACTCTGACGGTCAATAACAAGTGTACAAAGGGTCCCCCTCATCCCCGCGGGCATCACTTGTGTCCGACTCCGTAACATGATACGTTGAAGCTTCACACTTGCCATTCCGTGCACTTCAACGTATGAAATTTGGTTCCTCAGTTGTCTTTCATGATGATTGTATTCAATGCTTAGTCTCTTTCTTGTTCGGAAAGATTCCTGCTCTACTAATTCTCTTTCAGTTTGCTACACAAGTCTAAATATTCAATGGAGGGGCGAGCATCATCCACCCCTAATGCCTGGGGTGCGTCACGCGTAATTTTTCTCTCCTGTTGGCATTCGCCCCCTCCCCTCTCCTTTTGTAACTCATCATTTCTCGCCCACGCGCCTACTACCTTTTCCTCCCTACTAGGCATCGGCAGATACGTATGCCACTCATAGTCAGGTACTCAATGTCATTCATACCACCCTCCCCGACGCCCGCGATGGGAACGTTGTTGCACCATTCCTTTCTCCTCGACTGTCCTCAGTACTGACCCAAATGTCACATTTTCGCCAATGTAGTTCGACGTGACAAAAGCCGGCCTGCACATCCTTTGAATCATAAATGGCACAAGCCCACTGTTAGTAAGTCCCACGCTGCCATGCTTATACACAACAGACACTATTACCGTAAACCTGTGCAGATCTGCACATACCCGCCCCATATACTCGCAACCGAAAGGAGAAATGCACTCTTGAGCGTTGTTGACGAATAGGCAGAAAAATATGCCAGAAGAGAAGATACACTTCAATAATAGCCACTGACAAGCGCAGAACACGCCAGCTAGATGACCGTGACTGCCTTACTCCACTGACCATCTTTCCTTCGCAGCCTTCCTTTTGTACCTAATACTTCACGTGGCAGAGCAGAGACGAGTTCGTTTTATCAATCAACTAGATTATGACGAGATGATGTGCAACATACAGCCTTCGTTCGCTTTCACACGAGTCAGGCTGCTTGATGCATAATACCGGCTTCACCATTATATGAGTCATGATCCTGAGCGCCCCGAGCGGGCTGCGCAGCCGATTTTCGTTTTAGGACGAAATTCAACAACCTAGTTACTAAGACCATAGTCCAATCCTTGTTTTCACAACACCATGAACGAGAGCCTTGTCTCAAAGTACAAAGACATCGTCACCTCCAGAGGATTGACTTACCACTATCTATACTCGCCAGCTGTAGATGACAAACCCACTCTACTCTTTGTCCATGGCTTCCCCTCAATTTCATACGATTGGTATCATCAGATCAACTACTTCTCCGAGAGGGGATTCGGAGTAGTAGCACCTGACATGCTCGGGTACGGTGGCACGTCCAAACCCACTGATATGTCCTTCTTTCTGCACACCGCAATCGCACAAGACTTGCTCGACATTCTTGATGCCGAGAAAGTCCAAAAAGCCATAGCCGTTGGACATGACTGGTAAGATATAACTGAATGCGCGCCAGCTAAATTCAGAACTGTCATCAGGGGCACTCGCATAATCTCTGTCCTGTCAATGAAACACTCTGACCGGTTTTTGGGTTTCGCGTGGGTTGTGGTCGCACACCAAATATACGCCCCCTTCCCCCCCATTGATGTTGTTTTGGAGATGAATATCAAGACATATGGGCGGCCACTTCTGGGGTATTGGAAGTTTTTCGAACAAGAAAGTGCTCCTCAAACCATCGAGAAGAACGTGAGTGTTTGACCAATGTTCTGATCTCTGCTTATTAATAAGACTCAAAGCTGGAATCTTTGATTTCCGTGGTTTATCCGGATGATCCGGATGTTTGGCTGACTCTGATGAATCAACCCGGGGAGATACAAGCTTTCGTCGAAAATGGAAAGACGATAAAGAGAGCCAGTTATCTCACAGACGAGGTGTTTCTTATTACTCTGTCAGGCTTGTTAGAATTGACTGTCTGTAAAATATAGCACCACTCTCGCTTGTTGGAGTCACTAAGGGGAGGTGGGTTAACGAGTGCCCTGAACTGGTACCGGTCCACGCTCGGTGGTGTTAATTCCCGCATCATGGAAGGTGAGACACGATGTCCAACTCATTACTCGATATTGCATCATCTGATCTCGTTTTGCTGCGGTAACAGAAATACCAGAAGAAAATCACTTTATCAAGAAACCCGCGTTCTTCGCGGTCGCAAGGAAAGACCACGTATGCGTGTATGATTATGCTGTGCCACAAATGAAGAAATACGCGATGGGAGGTCTCAATGTGGTAGAGTTTCAAGGCGGACACTGGGTTCAATTGGAGGAACCGGAAACTTTCAACAGAGAGCTGGAGGGTTGGATTCGCGATACGTTGCAACAAAATTGTTGAGCGTAGGCGGGTTGGTCGCGACTACTCACGAACATCAATTGTACATCACCAACTCACAATCTACCCGAGCCCAACTCTCTCAAGACGTTGTGAATTACTAGTGTGATTTTTAGTTCGTGCGGGGACGAACGTCGCCAGAATTGAACTGGCCACACGTTCGAGTTCATCCAGATGCGCACGTTTGTTGAGGAACGAAACGATACTTATTGACACTATCGCAGAATCTGCAAAATCAAGACAGGTGATTGTTTTGGTGACCGGCGTAGCTTGCACATGGTCAACTGATAAGTGAGATGGTGTAATCTAATGAGACAACAAACAACAGTAAGTTTGATGTAGATGTGTAACACAAGAACTGAGATGGGCTGCGAGGCCGATGTATCCGAGCTAATACCTGTTGGTGTCCAATCCAGATGTCGGGTTGCAGGTGAATGTCGGTATATGAGGGACGTATATGATAACGCGATAAAGCGTGGAAAGCCATTGTTGATGAATATTTGTCGATCAAGACCTATCATCAGTCAGCGTACGGTCATTATCACCACGAATCGGACTGGAGGAGAAAAGGGATGCGGCAAGAATACAAAATCACGCACATTTTGTAATCTACTGTTGTCTCCTCCTCCTCGTCCCCGACTACATACGAAATGGAAATGTCAAGATCGCGGTTATTCCGAGCGTTCGGTGCGCAATCGAGACTGCCAGTAATTTCCTGCCCTTGTTTGATAGCGATTGTCGAGGGGGTATAGAACACTGTTTGCCTGTTTTCGAGAGATGAATACCTGAAGAACAGGAAGTTGAATTGCAAACGTACTTCCAATGCGTGTATTGCGCATGAGGACCAGTTGAAAACTTGACTTTCTTATGTGTGCAATCGAAGACGATGTCGAACCAAGCAAGGAATGCATGGATATCTAAAGTAGCGCGTATGAGTGGTGCAGTTATACCTAACACGATCACACTCACGATCATCGCGTGTAGCAGTAAGGGTAAAGGGTGCCGTGAAAGTCAGGTCCTCCTTTGTTGCTGTCAAGAGGTTGATTTCCTGAATGTAGTCAGACAAGTATTATCAATGAATTGATAGCAACAAACTTTGATAACATAGGGATCGGTTACGACCGCTTTGAGTTCAACGGTATCCACCAAAGGTTCGCGGAGTGCGATGTCTTTAATACACGAGTAGTTGAAGCCATACACATTATCCCAAACTACAAATGATGTTCTCAGCCAGGCGCGCGTATACCACAAACGTACGTACAGTTGATCTTCTCCTCTTTGTAGTCCTGATCTTCAATGGCAGCAAAAAGTAATTTTGCGGTGTCCGGGAATATCAATCCTTCGGGCTTGAGGTATTTGTCTCTTGCAAGTAAGACCGTGTCTAACATGGATTCGTAGAGAAGGAAATAACCCATCCACTCTGAAATGATGATATCGAACTTATCGATAGGAAGCTCGGCTTCCTCGAGTTTTCCCTTGACGAGAGTAATTGCTAGTGTATTATTACTAAAGATGGTATCAGTAGCATGCAGCCAGACGTACTGTCTTTGAAGCCGTTGGCTTCTATAATCTTTTGAGCTTGATCGATAATATTCGACATGTCGATCTTTAAAAGGCATGCAGGAAATGATACGAGCGAGTGGGCATGTGGTACTTACACCAACTACATGTGAAGCACCCGCTTTTGCAGCGAACATACTCAAGATACCAGTTCCGCAACCAACATCTAGGACTGTTTTACCCTTGAAAAGATGACCGTTGTTCATGATCGCAGAACGATAGGAACCTGTCCGGACAGTGTCCTTGAGCATTTCCTCGTGGATACCTGCCAGAATATGTCAAACTAACAATAACTCGACCAGACGGATCAACAAACCAAAATGCGCGTATGAATCCGCATAACTGGAAAAAGGGAAGCAAAAATTAGGTATTAGAATTTCCTTGAGAAGATATGCGCAAATGTGCGAACTAGTCTCTGGAGGTCATCGAGTCCGATGTAACATCGGGGGCGATATGGTGGGTCGATGTAACATCGGAGGCGATATGGTGGGTCGATGGTCCTGCACTTTCCATCTTCAATTGAAGCAGTTGGGTGAAGCT